CTGGTCAATCTCTTGATTCTAGGTGGGAGGTAGATTCCCACTCTTGTTTCTACTGTGCTGTGTTCACCATGGATTTTAACCCAGAGGGTCTCTAGTCGTCCACCCTGGGTGCCGATGTCAGCTTGTAGGGATGCGTAGTTCTCCTTGACATGGAGAGTTACACCTCCACCCCTTTTGTCCACTCGGTCCCTCCTGTACAGGGTATAGCCATTATATCTGTGGTCCAGTCATATGGCAGCAGTGCTTCAAGCTCCACTCAGCAATCAGTCCTTTTTTGTAATCTATGTCAGCGCACACCCCTAGGTTACTGAGAGCAAGTTTGATGACTAAACCCCATCTTGTGTAAATCTGTGAAGTTCTGTTAGCCTCAGTGGTGCTGGACCAATTTATACAAGCAGAAGATCTGCCCCAAGTGCCTAAAATATGATAAGCAAGTTTTGGTAGTTGATGGAATAATATTGTAGCTGTGGTGGTTCAGGAAATGTGTGATAAGCAAGGATTTGTATGGGTGATACTGGACCAAGGGCACTGCTGGGATAGGCTTAGACAAGTGTTTGAGTGCACTGCAATAACTTGAAGAACAACAAGTTGCATTCAAAAGCCTAAGTCTGTGAGCAGATGGTGACATGCTTTACAGGAAGGTGCAAGACAGAAGGGTATAACGTTCTCACAAGCAAGCTAAGGAAGTCTGGGTTGGATAAATGTCCTGTAAGGTGGATAGAAAACTGGCCAGATAGGAGAAAGTCCAGTGATGGTCAACAAAAATGGTGAGGGGGCTGGGACACATGACTTGCGAGGAGAGGCTGAGGGAACTGGTCTTATTTAATATGGAGAAGAGAAGACTGTGGGGAAATGTAATAGCTGAAGGGCGGTTCCAAAGAGGATGGAGCTGGGCTGTTCTCAGTGGTGGCAGATGACAGAACAAGGAGCAATGGTCTCAAGTTGCAGCAAGGGAAGTTTAGGTTGGATATTAGGAAAAACTTTCTCACTAGATGGATAGTAAAACACTGTAACAGGTTACCCAGAGAGGTTGTAGAGCCTCCAGCTATGGAGGTTTTTAAGCCCTGGCTAGACAAAGCTTGGGCTGGGATGAACTAGTTGGGGATGGTCCTGCTCTGAGCAGGGGGTTTGACTACATGATCTCCTGAGGTCTCTTCCAACCCTCATTTTCTATGATGCCTGACATGCATTTACATCTCTTCTGACAATGTGCCTTTTCCCGACAATGTAGCAGTGGACATTACACTATAAAAATATCTGGAGTCTGTGTTTAGTCCCCATACAGCATCTAATATTGCTCCCAAAGTAACCCTTTTAAGGGCTACATACCTCCCACTCAATTCAGTTGTTTTCCTAGCTAGACTAGGGTTTTCATGTTGTGCAGAATATGGTGTTAATCCCTTTTGTGGAAACTTTTCGAAGTTTCTTACATTTGTGAGAGTCTGAAAGGAGGAGGATGAACATGAAGTTTGATGACCTTATCTTTACAAAATGATTCATGATATACTGGGACTGAAACATTTTGAGGAGATGAATATATGAAATGCAAATGTAAACAATGAAACCATAATATAAATATAAAATTACAAGCAAGGCAAAGCTAGATTGAAGCCATGTAGAAATGCCCTGCTGTTCTGTATGACTGAGAGCAAGTGAAATTGTAAACAGTGGTGCCTTTTAAGCACTGAGATCTGAAAGACAACTACAGGAAACCGTATGCTCCATTGAATCCTGAGGGTGTTCTCTGTAGGATGAAATATTTTACTGAATTAATTCTTCATTTTGCTAATTCATTTCTCTGTTCCTGGCAACTGAGGTGACCTGCCACTAAGAATTTCAGGAAGATTTAACAAGTGATGGACTGAATTTCAAAACTCATGGGAATCATATCCCAGGATTTGAATCAAACCATTGTGGTGATTAGGAAGCAGATGCAAAAATCCAAATCTAGCTCTGAATAAGTTCAAGCATGTTTAGCCTAGATCAGGGGTGCTCAGCCTCTTGCCCCTGGGCCAGATCCGGCCCATGGCACAGTGTCATCTGGCTCTCAGGGCTCCTCATGGGTCTGGAAGTTTGGTGGTAGGGGAGTAATGCCACCAATTCCCTGCTGCCAGTTCTCCAGACCCAGTGCAGGCAGGAGCAAGTACTAAGTCCCTGCGACCCAATCCTAATACATGGGGCAGGGAGGAGGCAGTGCTTGTCCCAAGGCCTGATCTGGCCTGCAGACCAGCCCTGCGCCACTCATCTGGCCTTTAGGAGCAAAAGGTTGAGCACCACTGGTTTAGATCACTAGATGCAAGTGAGTTAAAAGATGCTAAAGGAAAGTTGCCCCAAAGTTCATATTTAATAAGCTGATATCATCAGAAGAAAAGTGGTTTTCCTTTGATATCTGCTATTTCATTTGCTCTTTTAGGAGATTTGTTGGGACATTAGCTTATTTTGTCTTTATTGTATTAGTTTATCTTGAAACTTCTACTATACACGATGGACTGACTAAGAGTCAAGTCACAGACTGCATTTTTTTAAAACACTGATACACTTGTCCTTATTACTACAGGTACATTTAGAGAGTAGGCACAGCTGGCAAACATTTGCCATTTCAATAAAACTTATGATCTAAGGGTTTGAAATACTTCAGATGAAAAGCTTTTGCATAATGGAGTCGAAAACAATTGCAGTTAGATTGCACGGTTCAAGAAAATCTTAGAACAGAGAGCAGACTTTTCCCATTCATATGCATTCTGTGAAAAGTAAACTGCATCTGGGGTTAGAATATTGGCCCTCAGTTTTGTCTACTGCACTAAATACAAAACCAAGTTACTCCCAAATAGTCAAGTCCAGCTGAATATACTGGATTTGGAAGATTCTAATATTTGAATTTCCCATACTCCTTTTTAAATGGAATACATTTTTCCAGTCCAATATGAAAAGCATTTACAGAAAGGAATGAGCTTCCTTTGTGGTAAGGAGCATGAGGGTGCATGGCTGCTTACCTACCACAAGGCCTTGACAATGCGACTTTGAAACAAATTGCCTTCCATATTTTTGAGTCTAACAGCAGAAATATGGATATGCAGATTATCACTTCAGGAGTAATTTCACAAAAGAAATCAGAGTGGTGGAGAAGTGTAGGCACAAGACTCAAGATAAAACTTAAATCAATTGTATTTTTTGCCTCCATTTGTTAATAGACTATTAGCTATGCATCGCCTAGATGTGGAGTGCAAAATTCAGCTTTGTGCTATGCTTTTGCATAGCAGGGGATGAGGAAATGGCTGCTGTTCAGCAATACACACTAGTCATATGTTTACTGTGGTAGTTGAAATCATAACACCAACATCCCTAATTTACCCTGGGGAAGCTTAAGACAGGGCAGACTTGATGAGGGGTCCTACCCTCTGAAATGATCCTGCTGCCTTGAATCTGCTCAACTTCAAGTCACGCTAGGAGACTAAATATCCCCAAGCTCATCCTGCAATAGGGTGTAGAGAAAGAGGTGATGGGCGAGAGAAATGGGACAATTTACAGTTTTAAACTCTCCCAAAAACACCCTATTGTTCCTTGTAATGACTTGTAATGGTCACTCTTATGTTGTAACACTGACTCTTGTACTTGGAATCTGGCACTGGTAGACAAAAAAGAGAGCACAAGGAGCCTGTTAGGATGCTTCATGCACCATCTGCTTCCACTAGGAGCAGCATTTATAAATGGGCTGCCAATAGCTGCATGCAATCGGTTTCTTCTCATTTGACCAGGGCTTGTTTTATCCTTCCTTGCAGAGTCAGAAGCAGCAGCATAAAGGAAAAACAGAAGGCCCTGGGCGAGGGAAAGGAATTGACTGTGCTGCTCTTACCTGCATGGTGCAGCTGGCACAGATCGTTGTCGGAGTGGGCCTAGGATTCTTGGTCAGTGCTGCTGGCAGTGTTGTAGTGGTGGTGATTTCTGCATCTGCTGTGGCATTGACAGGCTGTTGCTTTGTTGCTTTGTTCATACGATATGTGGAATAGAACAACACATGGATGATGGAATAAGTCACTGCAGGGGCAAATTTCCTCTCCTGATCTGTATATTATGTGGTGAAGTTTTCACACTGGTCTTTCCTGAGTGTTCCCTCCCTTTTTTATTCATTTGATGTAATTACAATCCCAGGGAGTTATTTATTCACTACGTAGGGATTCTTGATACAGCTAATTGCCTAACTTCTCAAGTAGAAGGGTTGTCTGTTCTAACTGCTTTGTTGCCTCCCTTCCTTTGGTCAAAATGTGTTAATATGCTAAGCCACTTTTGTACACAGCAGTAGGGCTTAGCGAAGCTCTGGTCCCTGATTCAGCTTGGTGGAAATTTGGCTTGATTTGGTGGCTGAATCTCCGAATCTGAATTGAATCAGAGGACCCTTTAATCTCTCTGAATCAAACTGAAACCCTCCGAATTGATTCGGCGATTTGGACATAGACACAGCTTTAAATGTTTTTTTTTTCTACTGGCCTCTAGGTAGCAGGCAGCTCATGAGTGCTGCAGTGCTGG